TAAGTGATTTTTCGTAAAATTCAAGTGCTTTCGAGTAGTCACCCATGGCGTTATGCACTAGAGCAATATTGTTGTACATAGGAGCTAATGAAGGATGATCTTCGGAAAGAGTTTTTCGGTAGATTCGCAGAGATTGTTCGTAAAATTGAAGAGCTTCTTCGTATTGTCCTTGGCGGTGTTTCATCATTCCAAGGTGGTGATAGACGTATGCCCTATCACTATCATTCGATGCCTGGTCTAGTAGTGTCATATATAGTTCTTCGGCCTTGTCGAATTGACCTATTTTGAGTAACAATTTACCCATTCGATACCATCCGGTACCGTCGACTTCTTGTCGTATGTAATCAGTTAATTCTCGAAGTTGTGGATCATCATCTGATGTAAGTTTAAGGTCGACTTGATAAAGTGCACGATTGTTGTCAATTTTTCGCACTTCACCAATTCGAAAGACGGTGTGCATGGAGAAGAGAATTTCCTCTTCATTCTTGAAGTAGCTTTTCTCTCGAATGGAGGCGAATGGAGCCGATGAGACCGTGGGATCGCTCGTGATTTCAAAAAGAATACCCACTGTATCGGTTGCTGCTAGGTTACTTTCGGCGAAAAAGAGAGAAACATCTCGATCTGTACTGGTTGATAAAAAGTTGTTAAAAGAAATCAGGTCACCTTTGTTTTCTGCGAGCTTTCCAAAGTCTGCTTTCGATAGGCCTTGCCCTCGAAAGACTGTACGAATCTTATTATGGTATTGACTGACCTGTTGTTTGTATAAATGTTCAATTTGACGATGTACATCGCACAGGAAAAAACCCATTCGGATCATAATGTCGCCATTGAGTGTTCTTAATGCGCCATTGACCATTTTGTATGTGAAGCATGTGCGTGTATACCACCAAATGGCGTTGGATGCTTGATAAGTACGTTGAAATTCCTTGATAATTTTCATTTCCTTCTTATTGTCTTGGTATTCTTGTTGACAGTAGGTGACCAAATCTTGGACGGCTTGTTGTTCATGTTCGATTTCAAGAAGTATTTCCTTGAATATTTGTGAATACATAAAAGAAGGTTCTAGCTGATCTAGATTCTTGCTAGAACCTCCTGCATTCACACTAACAATGCTCACCGGCATATGATCTTGATTGCATTGTTTGATTGCTGTTGCCAATTTGTCACAAATATGGTTGATTGAGGTGTGAACACCTTTAATTTTCGGCCAATTTTGCGCCCATACTTCGTGCTGTTGTTTATTGCCGCCAAATATAAAAATGGCATTTAATTTTGCCATATCATGAATATCTGGTACCAAATGTTGTCCAAGTGCACCTGAGGAGATAACAAATGAGATCTCCTCTTGATTTTCTGTGAGCAGTTGTATACATTGTTCAGCTGTCTGACATGGCTTGACTTGGTTAACGACAGCACGTAATTGTTCCATTGTATTTTGGCAATCTTGATTTGCCATGTCGATATTTCCATCGACCCAGATGACCAAATAATTTTCAGCCATACGATGTCTTTGATATCGAGTCATTTTTGATGCCATTTTTGCTGCTTGGTTAGTAATCGTGTATTGCAAGGAATAGATTGTTGCTTGAATAGATATTACTTTTGCTATTTATACGTTGGATGTCGACTGTTTTTTTCGTTGAAACTCAAGGTCAAAGTTAACCTGGATGTAATCAAAAGTATCGTTGTCAGCAACAAAAGGTAGAGAAAAAAAACTCAGCAATATCATTTATTTTATCATTATTCTTTCCAACTTTCGTTTGCTTACCATCTATATAGTTAATAGTCACTTGAAAGTCAGTGCGTTGGATATCTTATCTCATTCAGCTTTTATTTGTCTTTTAGCATCTCGAAACAAATGAAGACATTGTCAGTTTTATTTATTTATTTTTTATTATGCAGAAGACTTGCTTTCTGATAATGTGAGCAAAAGAAAATGAAGAATAAATTCAATATTGTTACAAACAACAATAGAACAACAGTTTCTGCTTGCTCTCCCAATATACTTTCCATCATTCACGAGTTGTTCAAGTAAAATGAATGTAGTTCGAATATAATAGAGTATTGAAGTACGTATTATAAATTCCAGGAAAGGACTAAAATATGTAGATATTTTGAGATTTTTACGTCATATGTATTGAGAAATAAGTTTTTTCTGAGTATAATACGTATTTTGTTAATATAAAAGAAATTTTTGATCTTTCTAAGCACAATTTTCAAATATTTAACCGTTGATGGAAAGGACAGTACAAAGAAAAAGAAATCTTACTTGAAAATGAATTACTATATGATTACAATTGTTCAGTTAATTTTTACAGTGTATTACAATAAATTATTTTAGGTTTTTATTAATTACATATGATTCATATTTATCATGATATTAGTTACATTTATAATGTCATTATTTTCATCTCTTTTGCATTTTTTGTAGTGTTCTTTCCATCGATACTTACATGGTTTAAAAGTGGTCGTGAGAAAGACAGAAAACTCCCTTTATATAAACAAAATATTCATTATACTCAGAAAAATATTTATATATATATTTAGGAATGAAACCCGTGCAAGCTTTTATTGATTTGCTATTACAATATTTTAAAAATTGTCTACTTGCAGTTATGAACTTTACTCGTGTCACATACTGTTACACAGTTTCAATTCTAATTCAAATCAATTTTTAAAAAGAATGAATTTATCATCATTCATAAGCTTGTTAATGTGTTTTTTGATTTATATTAAACTCATTTGGAATATATATGGTATAATAAAAAGACATCTTCTTCCATTGATATCCAAGATTCATAAAAAAACTAATATTCAAATTGTGTTTGTCTACATGTGAGATTCATACAATTTTAATGTGCATCACAATGACAATGAGAAAAATTCTGTCCAGTGTGTTAAAAGAACTTTAGAATCTATGTATGGAGTATGATTAGTATAATGTTAAAAAGATCATTAAAATCGAACAACTGTTCAAAAATTTCTTATTTTCACGGTAAGAAAGCATCTGAGTGATATCAATGAGAATGACTGTTTCAAAAACCTTCATTTCGAGAAAAAAAACATGAAACAATATGAAATATGTTCTATCATCGATAAATTTGACTTCTGATATTCAAATCAGTCAAAATATTAAAATAAAACGTATCGTACTGTAGTAGAATTTAGTCTAAAAAACATGTTGAGAAATAAATCAATGACCGAGACGGGACTACTTTGACATGACTGGATCTTATCCAAAACAAAAAGGTACTTCGATTTTCTACAAAAAAGGACATTTAACATGTCAAAGTGTAAAAATACGATATGTCTTTTATTAGTGTGAATGCGTACTGTTTGTAATTATATTGTAGAAAAAAAAAAATGAAAACGAAAAAAACTGTTGATTCATTTTTGGACAAAGAAAGTCTTTCGGATACATATTGATGTGTACCAATAAAATTTAATTTTTCTTACTTGGATGTGAATATTCTCTTCATCCACACCCACCCTATTTTTAATGAAAACACTATAATCTAATCTTTCTGAGGTCATCAAACATAGCTAAATCCCGTTTACAACAGCCACGTGGTATACAATACAGAATGCATTAGAAGATTTTATTTTATTAGTCAAAGTTTTCTGGCATTGACAATAACAAAATACGTAACATAAAACTGAATTTTATGAGGAAGTACAAACGATTTTGCTGATAACGAGCCCTTCCTTTCTGTGAACCTCGTCGTTTTTCAAGCTTTGAGGTTAATTAAAATGAAGACAGCATAAAAAGTTAGGCACTCGCCTATTCGATTAGCTGACTTTATTCATTTCAATTGCAAGTTTGACGTTCTATCTATTTTAATGATGATTATTAAATAAAAGAAAAATTATTGATTTTAAAATTAAATAAACAAAATTATCTATCGATAAAATAACTTGTTAATAATCGATTGGCAAACTATTAGATTAAACGACATCTCGCGCTTAAATATTGTAAGTTATGCCAATAAACAAATTTATCATTGATTTTCTGCCTAGAAAACATGAAAGAAGTCTTCTTCATTGTAATCAACTGAAGTAACGATCTTTTTTAATGAATTGTTGATCTCATATCATAGAAAACAAAAAAAAAACAATTTTTCATTTATTTTTTATGATTTCAATTTAATTACAAATTGAAGTACGTTATTTATATTTTTACGTGTGAAATTCATCATAACTGTAAAAATTTAATTGATCATTTTCTTTACTCTGTTTTGGATAATTAATAATTAAATATCCTCTTGGCATTGATGCCATTCTATCATATGTTGACATCATTCTTACTAAGTGTTTTAATGATAACCAATGATGAGGAAATCTTGTATGACTTGTATCCATAATTAGAACATAATCTGTTTTTTTATTAAATCCACCGATTAAACTTAAATGTCCACCTCGATGAATATAATTTTTATCTTTTTCTTGAAATTGTCTCCAATAATTAACAATTATAAAATTTTCTGGTTGTTGAAGATCATAACGAAATTGTTCTTCAATAGTTTCATCTTCACAATATCGAATTATAGAAGAAAGACCACAAAGTTGAAGAACATGAGATAATTTAGCTAAAGTTATTCCATTTAACATATGAGCTCGAGCAACAGTTGAATAAAGAGTAGATTGAGTCCATTTTTGAAATGGTAAAAGAGTATTCAGCAAAATAGAAGCAGAAGCAACACCACAAAATGATAACTGTTCTTGAGGTTCAAAATGAGGATTAAGACGATCATAAGCAATATGTAATGATGTAGAAAATAATTCTTGACCAGAAGAAGACGATAATGGAATGATTAGAGATGGATACCAAAGATCTATTGGTGAATCGCTTCGAGAGCGAACTTTCGACATTATATTAACTATTTGTACAATGAAATATCAGACCATATTCATGAAATAAATAAATTACAAATTTTAGATATGATGACTCACTATTCAAAGAACAACGAATAATTCATCGAAACGATAGATATCAGTCATTTACGATTTTGTTCTGCAACTGTCAACAGAAGTGTATGTCAAAATTATTATAATAATGTATTGATAATCGAATTCAATAGCAAACAGGATGTAGATGTGGATGTGAGTCTTCTTTTCATGTACAGTCTTACACAGTCACACACAATGATCTTCGCAATACGTGTGGAATCTGATACTTTTCTCTCGCATCCGCTGTTATAGGTACTTAAAGCATCAGTTATAGTTAGCATCACAATCAGTTCATATATATGCTCTGGATCTAATTTAAATAGTAAAAAAAGATATTGCTGATCTGCTGGAACTACTTATTGCGAAAAATTCAGCATTTCTTGCCAAGGTCAATTTAGCCCTCAACAGAACCTCTACTGTGTGTTAAGCGTTGAACTTCTATTTCATTCGGGTAATATAAATGGCATATGAATCGGATCAGAACCAATCTCCAGCATAATAAATTGTTGTCACTTTAACGTCATTTTCGCTCTCTTTATAAATTGTACGAACATGCGTGTTAGAGAGAATTTTTCGGTAGTTAATTGAGCGTTAGCTCATTATGATAGTATCATTATTGTCATTTCATAGTTTCCTAGCTATATAGCCAATACTCCACGACTACCACATAGTCAATAAACCATAAAAATATCACTTAAATTCTTATGACTAATCCATAGTTTATTTTGACTTTTTTTGGTCTTCGGCAGATGACTCTTTTAGCCAATAATTATAATTAGCAGTGTCATCTCTACACGTAGGATGTGGGTGTGAGTTTTAACGTCAATCACCCCCACACCCTAATACAAAGTATTCTATTGAAATTTAAATAATTTCAAAAACTCAATTGAAAAAAATTAACGTATAGGGCAAGTACCAAGTCTGAGCTGCTCGGTTAGGCTTGGACTCCGGCTTGGCGAGACTTTAGCACAGTCAGGAACACGCTCGGTCGGACTTGGGTTCAGTCAGAGTCTAAACGAGTCTAACCAGAGTTGACTGAGCTCGACTTAACCTTGTTGAGCTTCAATGAGTTTTACAGAGTCCGAGCTACTTGGGCTCGTTAAATGCCTAGATGTGGATGAGAGCGTAGTTGTGGACGTGACTGTAGATCTGGGTATGGGTGAATTTCCGGGTGTGAAATTCTGGGTATCAAGATAAGACCTATCTTCATAGCCTTGCCTCAATATTCTGAGGATGTGGGTGTGGGTAAAAACACGACCAAAACACATCCGCACACCCGACACCCACACCCCAAAAGTTATGCACCTGAGAAACAATCGAATATCTCTGTTACGGCTCAAGCAAACGAGCTGATCTTTTTATCAAGGATAGAGACACGTTCAAGCTTTATATCCATGACGATATGCCTAGAGAGATCCTTTGTTAAGTATCACTATTGATCTCAGCAAAAAAGTTTTACTTTTTTACAGATAGGAAAAAGAACAATATACATAACAAAGAGTCTCTCTAGGCATGTCTTTATGGATACAAAGTTTGAACATGCCTCTATCATTGTTAAAAATATCAGCTTGTTTGCGCGAGCTGTAATAGCAGTATTTGATGTTTTTTTCGGTAAAGTGAATTTTGCATCACCCTGTATATTGTTTTTCTTCCTATCTATAAAAAAGTAAAAAATTTTTTGTTAAAGTCAATAGGGGTATTTAAAAAAGATTCTCTCTAGCCTTGTCTTTATGAATATGAAATGTGAACATGCCTTTATTAGTGATAAAAAAATCAACCCGGTTTGCTTGAGCCGTAACAGAGATATTCGATTGTTTCTCGGTTGTCTGACTATTGGACCGCTCTCTATTTTGGACAATTAATTTACCTGGTTTATTAAACTCGAATGGCTCATAACGTGGTGTGACAGGCACTAAACTCTGTTCAAAATTGTAGTTATTTTGTAGAATCTATCTACCTGATTGACTATTTCTGAATAGTTAAGAAGTGAATGACTCATACTCATTCAATTTCAGATATTGCTTTTTGCATCACGACTGGCAGTGTCTGCTAATACTAATTCGAAAGAATCCAAGTTGTGAAGTTGTACATCATTTCATAAAACTTCAGTTGAAGTTGCTTGAAAATAGCTGATAAATCATGGTTAGACTTCTCTTAAACGTAAAACAGTTTGAATCCTTTGTAAAAGTTCAATAAAAGTGAAAGTGTATAGGAAGTATCTAGCCTTATATTTAAATGACTTCAATAAGTGTCGATAGAATAAACCAAACAATGTATTTTGTTATTTTTTAAAAAGTTCTACAAATGGCTCGGAGAAAAGCTTATCTGAAGCTGAAAATAGTTTCGATCAGTATAAAATGAGCAAGAAGAAAGACTCATTTCTGAGATCATGTTGATTTTTTAAGGATTCTAAAGAATTTCTCTTTCATATTTGCAGCTCTGAGTTGGTTTTTGTGACATGTGCTGTTATGGTGTACTGTGTATAAGCCGTACTTGACTAAATACTAGCGGGAGATTTTTAGTTGTGGAATGTTTTTATTGAACTATTTCTAAACTTGGTCGTTTATAATTTCACCCATGTGAATGAATCGTTTTGATTGAACTGTTTTGTGATAAAATTATCACTGTAAAGATTTATCTCAAAAAGTTGAATGAAGAAACCATTCATAAGATAACATTTCAAATAGATTTCCAAAAAAAATTGGTTTTTGCAAGATGAAATTGGAATTTGTTACACTGAACATATTTATAACTTTTAGAATAAGACTTTTTCCAATCAATTAATCGATTTTTGGATTTGTCGTTGATGGATTTTTTTCCTTGGAGAGTTCAATCAATAACATCGTGTATGGTAGCTGTTCTCAAATTCATTTAAAAATCGATGATATCTTATGCGTATGAATTTGTCAAATAGTATCCGAATACTGCACTAATACCAAGATTTTAATGGCTAATGCACTGAAGAGTTTTTATGATTGTAACAAGTTAAAAAAAAACAGGTACGTCTCAGCATGAAATATTCTTTCGTTAATAAAAGTCCGATTAGAAATCAAATGTCTTTTCTCAATCTTAATCCATTCAATATATACTTTGAATGTTATAATATAAAAATTTTACAAATATTCCACCTAAATAGATTGGCTTAGAAGTTTGAAAACTAATTGAAAGAGTAGGAATAATGTTTCGAAAGTTGTACAACAAAAATCAATTTTGTGTCATATTTTTTTCTTCTTGATATAATCATATGAGAATGATCTTTACATGAATAATTATTTTCAAACGATTCTAGGTTAACTGCAGAAAGATCAAAATTGCTTGAGTATCCAAAACCAGACGTCCCTATAAAATCTAGGTTAAACGAGAAAAAACAAATGTTAGTAAATTGATGTATTCAATGAATTTTTTTCATCTTAATCCTACATTGACCATTCGCAAATTGTTATAATAATAAGAGCGATAATACGAGTAGAACGATTCTCATTTTTAACATTTAATATATGGAAGAAGAATTGTTTTCACAAACCACCAACTAATACAAATTACAAAAGCAACACTCTCATTTATATATATATCTACTTGCTTTCTTATTTCTGTGTAATTCAATATACCATTACATATAGATAACAACACATACAAAATGTTACATAACAATATTCTAAATTAAAGAATACAGTATTGTAATACAATTATTCGTACATTTCATCACTCAAGATATGACGATATAGGTTAGTTTTGAATCATGAAAGCCAAGATAAACATATCTCATTTTACGAGCTTCGATCCTTCCTTTTTCTGATTGTATTATCATATTAATCAACTGCGCTAAAAGAAACAAAAGAAGTAAGTATTGATTACCGTTAGCATTTATGTTCCATTATCTCTAGTGTAATAAAAATTTTATAAATATTACTTTTCATCTAAAAATGACATAGAAATATCCATATTTCTCTTCTGCACTTCTTAAGTATCCCTAAATTTGTGAACTATATTGATTTGAATTGTGTATATTTGTTGAATATTATTAATACAAGATTGAATGACAAGAAATTCAACTGTATCTTGAGATTATTGTTCTTTGATGAAATTTTTGTTTCTGATTGATTTATCTAAAGTAAATCGGAATCAAACACAATTGTTTTGATCGTTCTACGAAAAAGAATAACAATCATTTCAAAAACAGATAAAAACAAAATACAAGTTATTCCTCAATAACGGGTTGTCTCTTTCATCAGTCTCATTCTATATAATGACAAAACAACAAAAGTGACTTGCAATCAAATAGTGATTGCTATCTTTCCTAAACTTAATTTTTCTTATTCAAAAAAAAATAACTTGAAACTGTCCATAGTATTGCTCTCCATCAATATCTTCGAGTCGTTTGAAGTATGATGAATAATGCTGTGTCTAAAGAATACTTTGGTATAATTTCGATGATCATTTTCATTTTTTAAATTTGAAATGCAGTGAATTACCATTCGAGAAACGTTCTTATCGATAACAATGTTTATGAGCACAAGGAAACTGAGAGATATTTTGACGCAATATCTTTCAAAAAAATTTAAATATTTTTATCAAAGAAATTCTTCAATTTTTTCTGTCATGCAAGTTTTTATTTATCTTCTCAAACTTCTTAATCATGTCAAGAAGGATGTGGGTCTGGGTATTTTTCTGACAAATACCCACACCCACACCCATGCTAGTCATATACTTCATGTCACAAATCTTTTGGAAAGTTTTTAAAAGACTCCAATGATGAAGACTTACGACTCACCTTTCTGATTTCGAGCTTTTCAGGAGAATCTCGATAAACTCTTATAGATGTGAACGCTGATCATGAATGTTTTTCTTGTATTCTGTTGTTTTATTTCACATTAAACGAGATCGAACAGTACACTAAATGTCTATATATGTATGTATGCTAATAAAAATATATGAAAAAAAATAAGCATCGAGCATTATGTATATTAACCGGTTCAGTATTCACTTTTGGTTTTCATAGATAAAATGGTATCGAAAAAAAATTTTGGCCGGTGGTTTTGGTGGTGGCAAATACTGTTTCATCTTGCAAATAAATCTGAAGAAAATATCAAGTGTTACTGGATGTTCTTCTTTTGATTTATTCACCAGTGAATACATTTCAGTAGGTAGTGTTTGGCAGCTTTGATGGAATTCAATTAGTGTTGCTCCATCCATTGATTTACAGAGCGGTACTAGTGGTTGAAGTTCGTTGTCAATGAGAAACTCATTGACATTTTCTTTGGTCCATATCATCGCTGAACTCATGGTCAAATATTCTCGTGTTTGTATGGGTTGCGGTTCAATCTCTTCGGGAACTGGTTCAGGTTTGGGCTCAGTCGATGATGTACCAGCTGATTTTTCCGGTTCATCCGTGGCAGCTTCGTCCAGATCTTGGCGTTTGATTTCAGCCATCAAGAGTTCATAGGCTTTCTCGAATTCTTCATCTTCCTTATCTGCAAAATCGATATATATTTTAGAACCTGCCATAAAACCTAACCACCCATCAGGAGTATAATCTTTTTCAACTTTTAGCGGGATGATTTTACTCTTTCGATTGAATGCGTACTCAGCTTCTGCTTGACAGTTGGTACTCATTTTGTAATTGCTCGACATGCATATTAATATGATTCGAGAATTTTCGACAGCTTCCGCCATGCTTTCGACGATCGAACCACGCATTTCATCTCTATCTAACCAAACGCTATAGCCATCCTTTTCTAAACGATCGTTTATTTGGTGGCACAACTCTTTTTGTGCCCAACAATAAGAAATCATCATGTCGTACTGTTGAGGTTTCTCTTCCTCACCTGCCTCTTCTTTATGTTTCTCTTCAGCAATTGCCTTTTCTTTAGATTTCTTTTCATCATCTGTCGCTTCTTTTGTTTTCTTGCCGTCATCTGCTGCTTCTTTAGGCTTCTTTTCATCACCTAATGCTTTTTCAGGTTTCTGTTTATCACCTGCCGCTTCTTCAGGCTTTTCTGTTGATTGTTCCTTCGATTTCTTTTCTTCGACTTCTTTCATAAACTTTTCTTCATCTTCCAATTTCCAGATGACTCCATAAGCTGCATTAGCCACTTCCTTGTTGTCGGATTGTCGCAGTTTTTCTACATGATCGACAAAGTCTCGATCTTCACTGAATACTTTCTTTGCATCTGCATTGAATGAGAGCGCATAGGCAACTTCCAACGGTGCAGGATCGTTCGTTGCTTTTTTGGTATACTGAATAATAGATGGTAGAGCATACTGTTCCACAATTTCCTGTTTAATATCATCGCTGTGTACTAGATCTAACATGATAAAACATCAAAAACTTATGTTTGTATCTAATTTTAAGAGTTCACTAACCCTTCAAGCCTTGCATGAGATTTTCAGCCGTCCGATCTTTTCCTTCTTCCAGTGCTTCGTTGAAAATTTTCACAAATAATTCGGTAACCTTTGCTGCATCGTTAGCTGTGACAAATTCTTCTTCTGGCACGAGCAAAGAAAGTAATTCGTATGCGTGTAGTCGCATCTTTTCGTTGCGATTGTCATTTGAGAACTGCCTAAGGACTTCTAATAATTTACTATCATCGTTCGCCTGCTTTTTCAGTTGAGACAAAATCTTGGAATCAGAATGAACAAGGTCAAGCAGAATGTTGATTGCAGTATGAACAAGTGTGATACGTTCTTCTTCAACATTAGGGTCAGAGAGCGATTGTTTTTGCAGCATTGTCACCAGGGCTTCCTGAATATGGCATTTTTCTTCTAATGATAAGGCACTTAAATCGGATAGAATGAATCGGATCGGATAAAGAAGACATAACACAACAGTATCGGTCCATTTTTCTATGTTGGGTAGAAAATGAGTAAAAAGCTCACGGTAATGAGGAGCCATATGCTTTAGTAGATTTTGAAAATGAGATTTGTCGGTATCACACGTAAGAATATAATCTGGACAAGTGATGAGAAGAAACTGCTGCGTCACAGTCAGAATGGACGCATTAACATCACCGAGATTATATAATGTTTTAGTATAGAAACGATTGGAGACACATCGAACAATAATATCAATCAATTGATCACATTCCGTATTAGTATATGCCTGAATAAGCCAATCGAATGATTGTAAATTGGGATCTTCTGTTCCTTCAATATCCAAATAATAACCATGGGAAGCAATATCATCTGCACACTTTTTTGCCAAATCAGTTAGTCTTGTCTGTTGATTGAGCCATTGTGTAGCTTCGCCATTGTTCTTGGTGACGTTGAGCAAATATTGGCTATATTTCCGAAATTTATCTTGTTGATTTTGATTTAATGAACGATTGTCATGCCAATATTCCAAAATATCACATAGTTCCTTTGAGAAATCTTCATTGAGAAATACTTGTTCGTCAACATCTTTATCGACAAGAGTAGACAAGGATGAGAAAGATATTTGGTTGTTGCGTTTTTTCCACATGTCCAGTGCACCTTTTGCCTGTTTTTGAATTTCATTCCACTGCAGTACTTGCTTCCTTTCTGTCATATTGGTTATTTTTTACGTGTTGACTTAGTAAAAGAAAAAAAAAAGTAACTACATATTGGATGTTGTCTTTTCTATTGGGGACCGACCACGAAACAGCAGTCATGCATGATCGAATTCTCATTAACGCCGTCCTTGAACACAAGAAAAAATAATCAATATTTTCTATATAAACAGAAAACACATTGCTCATACAATTAATCTATCACGTCCTTACCTGTAAGAAATATCCGTAAAAAAATTAATTTGTTTTTCATAGTACATTCTCTAATATACAGTATTCACTTTTCAATCAAACGCATTTTACAACAGACAGAGCTTAGAAAAAGGTACTCGATTGAGATATTTTTATTTTGCAAAATTTCCATAATAGCTGAAGACGAAAACATTTAATAAATATGAAGTCAATTAGAATAATGAAATGAACATAGGACTTGTATGTAGCTACAATGAAATATTTCAAAAATAATTACAGTGAACAAAAGTTTTGTCTATTATTTATTCCTTAGACTGTAGAGAGGATCATATGAAAAAAAAGTAAAATGCACTCTAACTTAAAATGTGCCGCATTTATGTGTCGTGCATCCCAGCATAAAAATGTGTCGCGCTTAGAATGTAGCGTACACGAATTTGTCGCGTTCTCTTTGTTCACTATTCATTCACCGTTTTTGTTATGTACGCATAGCCGTCTATAAGCAACACGGTTGAACGTAAGAAAGATAAATATTTTCACAATAATTTTTTTCTGGGTTATTTCTCGATAATTTATTAGCCGAGAAAATGCCAGTCTCGATGAATATTTGAGAGAGGACTACCATGAATTGGTCTAACGGAGATCGGGTCAACTCGAGGCTGAACAGATCTCCAGATCTAACCTGCTTGAGTTTTCAGCACAGAAATAATGATAATGAAATTAAATTGAAAAAAATTCATAACATGCTTTTTCAGAAGAACCAATAAAAAATGTGTCGCATGTGTCGTGCTCTTGCTGGACAAAATGTGTCGCCACGAGCACCTCGTGTCGTGCTCTAATGTGTCGTAAATCACAACACATGCGACACATTTTAACTTAGTGTGTGCGACTATATGTGTGCATGTGGCCAAGTCAAAGCTCAAAAAAACATAAGAGGTGAAGTTGTGATACTGGGGGTTATCTGCAGTAACCAGGCTTAGTTAAGGCTAGTTAAGAGTAGTTAAGGCCTACTAAGACTAATTAAAGTTATCTTAAGCTACTTAATGGTTGTAAAGAATAGTTAAGAGAAGTTGGAAGTAGTTAAGAGCAGGTAAGGTCAACTAAGTTGAGTTCATGCTACATGAGAAAAACAGTATTAGAAAAAAATATTGCGTTGACTGAAGAGAGAGTCATATAAAATAAAATGAGTTGTCTGCGGTTTTTTGGTGAAAGAAAGGCTTTTTTACGAAAATAATGATTTTTTACAACGCTTAACCGAAGGTAATTGGGGCTCCAGATATTTAAATCTTTAGTTGGTTCCTAGAAATTTCCAGTCACAGCTTTATAATCAGAGAAAGGATTTTTAGGAAAACGATACTTTTCGCTGCACTGAACATCGGGTGTTATGAGATAAAATGAGTTTGCGGGGTGGCAGTCATTGGGAGAGTAACATATTCAGATGTGCCAACGTGATTAAAGACTCGATAATTTCAGTAACGTGAAATATATATGATTGCATCTTTTGTGTCTTAGTATTCCATTATTCGTATTTTTCTCCGTAGAACTGCTGAATCATAGAATTTCCCGTCACTATGACTCGAAGAAGGTAATATGAACAGATATGTCAACATGAAGTCACTTTTTTGTGGTCACTAGAGAACAAGTAGCTATTGCTTAAGTGCATTCAAATAATGGAGCGACTAACTGTGAGTGGCGCCCCGGAGGAGCACCGACGAACGAATAGTCGCTCCTATTCCAAGTTCAATGTAGATTTGCTTCTGGAAAGATCTATATATTGGCTAGGTTTTTTTTAGAGAATATTATATTAACGTAAGATTTCCTTAATGAGGAATTTGAATAAAACTCGGATTGACTAGCTAGACGACGAAATTACAGACATAAAGAACATTTTACAACAAAGTTTCGGTTTTGGCATTTCCCATCGAGGGTCCTCATGCTATAAATCTAACGAATTTTTAACTAACGAGGGAACATTCCCAGGTGTTGAAACGCTTTTCAGTCGGGACGTTGCGTATCTTGCAGGCCTTGATGAATTATGTCTACCGTAAAAAAAGTTCATGCCCCTAGCGTGTTCCTAGTGAGATATCGAGGTTTTAGTGAATTTTTC